AATCCATCCATTATCCAAAATACTGCTTTACCCACCAGGATGAATAATGTTCAAAAATCTCTACATATCACAACTGAGATATTTCGACTAAGTGAACATCTGTGTGTGATGAAACCCTACCAAATCTTGTATTCTGTGAAAAACGCTGTATGCGAAGAGACAAGGAACATTGCTCACCTGAAGATTTACTTCTCATTGCTTTCATAGTTATTCCATTATGAATGTTTCAGTAGAATTGACCAAGGCTTCTATAATGAAGTAAAATTTCTTTTCTACAATTACTTAACAAAGTTGTACTCGAACTGGCTGGTCGTTGGTAGGTAACCGATGCAGCTGTCTATTCCTTTGTCCTTAGCACTGATCTAAGTCTATCCATCTTCGATCAGCAAAATTCAACGTAAGTACCATGCCTATTTGAAGTGCCTAGAATCTAATTTGAAACCACTACATGATCAGGCAGTCAAGCATAGTGAGAAAGACGTATCTGAATTCATGAACAGGACCTAAGATGTTGACATCAAAAATGGAACTTTTGTACCACTGAATGTATCATTTCTATTATGAATATACCAATAACTGAAACAGTCAACTACACATATGAGCAGGAGAAGGAGAAATTGCTGAATGCTGGAATTCCAGTCGATCGCTGCTCACATTTACCATAAATTACTAATGGCAGTTTAATGAGGGATTAAACAAACTAGTGTAGGGGGTGGCGGTGGGTTCATCGTTCGGTCCCCAGGTAGCGGACGTTTCCGTAGCTAAAGTGGAGAATGGTTATCTGTAAGTCTGCCTTTTACTGTAGGTGGATGGATGATACATTTATCGCATTGTGAAGACGGCTGGAATAAGTGTGAAATATTCGCCGAATTCAATGAAGCACACTCAGTAATAAAATTCGCATGTGATGAAGAATCACAAAATGGAGTAGCCTTTCTGGAAGTTCTCCTTTGAAAAAGATCAAATGGGTTGCTGGGAAGGAAACCATATCAGAAATGTAGATGGTAGGGTCGACGTACACACTTCCTCAGCTTTGTTCCCATGTAATATAAACAACATCTAGTGAGTACCTCAGTTGTATTGCAGGAGAGTGATAAGCTAGGAGGATAGGATCGATGCAGAATTAAAGATCATAAGCAGCACGGTAAATGAAACGGACTATGCTAGCACTATAGTCGGTATTAAGCTACAGTGAAATCGTCTCAGTGTTGAAGCAGTCAGTGGTATGCGTAAAAGAATATCACATGAAAGGAATGTCAGTTTTTCTGAGATGGAATAGCAGTCAGTTCAGTTTTAACCGGGGAATGAAATCAATATGTACAGAACACTTGGTACATAAAGAGGCAAAATATAGAGATGATTACTCATTATCGGTCTATATTACTTGTTTACTAAGAGGAAGTGATCGTTGTGTAATGATGAATTACATTCAAGGAAAAATGGAAAGTTCATGTGAAGGTGATAACGAAACCACAAATAACAACTGTGAAATTTTACGTAAGGATTGAAAGTGACTACTAGTAACAGTAGTGATAAACAAGGGCATCAAACTAAGCACTTATGTAAATAATTGCTTATCAATGGAATGAGAAGTGAAAGAATAAGAAGAGATGGAATGGAATGGAATGGGAGATTAAAATATAAAATTCTTCCAGGTTGGTATTCATTGTAGACTGAATCCTCACAACCCTGTAGAAATTCGATAGAATTCCTTGTTATGAAAGGTCATAATGCTCATGTTCATCCTATTGTGGGTCAGGGTAGACAAAGTGGATGCATGTATGTGTTTTAAATACGTGAATCAGGTTTCCTCACTTTGATTCTAACAGCTTCGTCTATTGATGAGAAACTAAGTTGTGAGTGATCAGTAGATTTCAAGAAACACGATATTTCACAGGGAAGGTCTGGTCTAACTTGATTTGATATCCAGTATCAACTAAATGTGAGGGGACTGTACTCAAAACCCCCAATGTAAATAGATATAAAGATTGATAACTGAGTTCGTGTTGATGCATGTTTCCCAAATATATTAATGAAAGATGTGTATATATCTGTTAGGTAATATGCGATTCAAAGGAATTCCAACCATTGGTGTGATCAAGGATAGCAGTTTGCTCTGTATGTGATAAAAACTTACAATCTGATCATTATGTGCAAACATTCACCTTCACTTTATTCTTAATAAGTTGTTTAGTACTGGTGACATTATATTTATTACTGAAGTTAATTTTGACATGCAGCTCAGGACAAAACACCCACATCTGGCGACTTCAGACGCATCAGTTTAATTGGCTGTCTTGCTTATTTCATGCATGAAGATTCCCTTTGATTTAACAAAATGTTAGGTGGGAGGAATGAACAGAAGCAGTTGTAGGATAAAGTCACCTACCATTTCATACTCTGCCTCCCAATGCGTCTCATTGTGAAGGGGTTGAGGGTTAGGTACATCACTGTTGAAGGCTCTTTACTTGAAAACCTGTGTGCATGATAGCGCCTACGTTGAGATATCAGGTGAGTTGTGTACTTCGAGCGATATATGTCAAGAATACTCACTCTCTCCATTCTTTTTAATTTTATCATAGATGTTCTCATGGAAGTCTCTCTAGTCAGTTGACTACCCAGGGATTGACCTCATCACAGGTGCAAATTTTTGGTAGACCTGGGATATGCAGATGACATAGTCATGTTAGATTTAGACGCTGACAAGATCCAGAGTCTTCTGGACACCTTGAGTGGCAGTTTGAGGATAATTTTCATGCATTTCTCATCACTCAAATGAAAACTGTTTCTCCAGGACTCATCTTCAACGGTGCCCCGACTAACAATATACAGTGAAGTGGTTGAGGGCGTTGAACACTTCACTTACCTAGGAAGTTGGATCTACACTGGTCAGTTGATCTGCGACCAATGAAATCTGTGCATGGATACGAAAGATTCGGTTAGCTTTTGTCAAGTTATGCCACATTTGGCCAGGCCATGATATTTGATTGTCTATTAGGAGTGTACGATTCTGCAGTCCGCCCCGTTCTACTTAATGGCTGTGAGACATTGCCATTAAAGATACGAGACATGAGAAAGCTTCAGGTGTTTGACTGTTGTTGCCGTCATAGCATAGGCCGTGTTTCCTTGGTGTCATCAAGTGAGTAATGCAGAAGTCAGGTGTAGAATTTTACGGAGGAGAGGTAAGATAGTTGGTGTGGTTGTGAACTAAGATGGATGCGACGTGTGTCACGTATACCCAGCCACCGTCTGCGTTGACCTACAATATTGGCCGAAGTAGGTTCAGGCTGGTGAAAGGCTCTGGGCAGCCAGACTAAAACACGGCATCACTGCATGAAGTCCTCTACCGTTCGTTTGAGCTATGTAGGGCGATGCAAACTAGCCGGTTGGAGGTACGCCGGTCAAGAGAAACCACTGGTTGGCGACTCTAGGTGATATTTCTGAAATTCGATGTCAGTGGCGCAGATGCATGCAAATATTATCCTCATCCTAACTGTCATACTTAATCTCATCATTTTCTCATGCTTCCTTCCTTTTTTAATACTTCCTACCTCTACTTCCTTTCACCGGTCTTTCCTTCCTTCTTCATCTTCCCTTTGATTGCCTTGTTGCTTGATGTGATGTAATGAGGGGTGGCAACTTGGACCGTTACGCAGTGATGCTTGATCCTATGTTGGTCTTGATGATGACTCTCGTTTTATTTGTTGAAACTCTATACTCTTATTGTTTTGTACTGTTTCACAATGCCAGCATCACTCCATGATTTCACAAGATATGAGATGACATTTCAATATCACCCGACTAGTTTCGATGGTGGGAACTGTCAGTGAGTATTTCTTTCCTCTTTCTGGAAACGTTCACTCAGTTAGATGTCATATTTGTCGACAGAAATAGCATTGTGTATATAATTTAGTTACTTATGATTGAGTCTAGCCTTTTATAGGGAGAAACAATACGTACGGCTAGAAAGGATCTGTGAGGATCGTTTTCAAGGTTATTGAACAACTTTTGATATCCGAAAAGGACTTAACATTCAGATAATTTTTCCATGTGGTGTCTGGCTCATTTTCTTCTCAGCTGATAAGTCACTGCAGACAGTCTTGGCTTCATGTGGCAACTGTAATTGTAGACATTTACCGATGTCTTCACAGTTCTGGGCATCTTATTAAAAGCATTTGATGTTTCTATAATGGCGAATGACTCCTAGAAGTGCTAAATCATTCCTATGTAATAAAACCTGTGCACTATATGGCCATAAAACATTGCTGAGATTGAATATATTAGACGAAGCACATAGTTTATTACTTAGACGAAACAAAGGATTACCTAGTTCTTGAATCTCATTTACACCTCGAATCTCTGATTCCATAAGATAGCAAGACAAAATGAACAGTCAAATAACAGGATCGTAATCCTGTAAGTGACAGATTTCGAAGAAGTCTAATCGAAATTCTTAGCTATAATGTATTCATTTCATGAGTAGAGTAAGTCCCTAAAAGCTGATATGTATGTGTGAATACTTCATGAATTCACGTTGTCAGTAATAAAGTCTTATTCTTGTTATACTACAACACAAAAGCAGGGAAAGTAAAAATTTGTTTTATAGTGAGTAGTGAAACACAACATAGTTAAATCTTCCCTGAGTTTAAACATGAGAATCAAGAAGCTAGCGGATTTGTGTCAAAATAATCCTTGAATTATCAGCCAACAGTATGATAGCCAAACTTCATCCACAAACCACTTAACATAGAATTTGTGCTGCATATAAAATGATTGCATAAACAGTTGAATATTCACTTTTCTAACAGATTAAACATCAAATGATCTAAGCAATATATCATTTTTAGGGTTTTCACTCTTAAAATTCATTCTGCATTCAGCTCATCCTGTGTTATTCAATATGAACTAAGTGTGTGACTGATTAAATTATCAGCCAATCACAAGCCAGTGAATGACCGAATGTCGGTAATTTTTATTTACATTTCAGTATTTAAAGGCATTAGATGTACAATGTAAGCAGAATAGAAGATAAGCATGCATTGGAATACTGTTTCTATTCAAAATGCATTGTGGTTTTTATTTTTATCAGTAATACTATCTCAGCATACAACACAGTGTGCAAATTCATCATTGGATGTAAAGAACCCTGATACTTGGAAAGAACTGGCAGATGAACGATTCAAGCAATTCGAACAATCCTTCCTCTGGTCAGTGGTAAAACCACCGAAAAATGTTATCCTGTTTATTGGTGATGGAATGAGTTTGAATACAGTGACTGGTGCAAGATACTTGAAGGCAGAGCAAATGAATTTACTAGGTGGTGATGTACAATTGGTGTGGGATGATTGGCCTGTGGCATCACTTGTTCGTACATTTAACTCAGATAGACTGACAACGGATTCGGGTGCTGCAGCAACAGCCTTTATGTCAGGTTAGTCTGTGGACTGTTTTATGCTTGTAATTGGGCATTTGGTATTTGATGTGTTAAGGTGATTACACCATATAATTTTGTACTGAAGGGAATACTTTCAACTCGAAATCATAATGATCAGAAGGATATATGGTATACATTTTGTCACCTGAATTGAACTTAACATGACATTTTGTTTGTTGATTGTTATTAATGTGAGATCAGTTGGAAGTGTGACACCCAGTGCCTTATTCAGTAATCCTCAATTGTACCGGTATATTTTTCATACAATATGATTTTTTGTTACATGGTTTGAAGCATTGGCATATTTTCAGAATGAAGATGGGACACTGACTGAATGATTTTCTGATTTCTACTGGGTGATGATTGAAGATGAGATGCCAATCTGGACCACGACCGGATTCGAACCAGCGACCATAGGGTTACCGGCCCGGTGCTCCACCAACTGAGCTACTCATGATCACTTCAATCACCAAGGGTTTTGCCCGACTACCATATGAATTCGTGACCCATTGCTATCGCTTGATCATATTCACACTGTCTACCTGGTCAGGACTTCTTGTCGCAATCCAAATCTAACTGAATCAGAGAGAGGGAGCATCATATTGATTAGTCTGCTAAACTATGGCTATCTCATACAGTCAAATGATGATTTTCTGATTCTCATAGCTTCTATTATTCTGTCAACTATCATTCTACCAAGTTCATTATTCGAAATATAGTCAACTTCACTGAAGTTCAGGAAACAACACCAAAGACAGTACCATTTAAATGTTGGTCTACTGCACAGCCATTATTGATAACACACATACACAAACGTTTTAGTTAATCAACGCCCATCGAATATTCGTGATCCATTTAACTACTATTGGTTGCAGACTAGATGCTTCGTCATGTGTCATTAATTTCGGAATAAATGAGATCATATTGGTGAAAGAAATTAATTTATTATATTACACACCTTCAGTATTTATATAATAAAAGTTTATTTAGACTTTTTAGGCACATTTTGAAACGGAGTTCACTACTTTACATCGATTAGTCACTGAAGAGTAACCAATTTGACTTCCTGTATTTATGAGTCCTTACCGAGTTCTATCAATCATTTCGTAATGTGGTCGCCATGCTTGAGGAATTGCCACTACAGTGCGGCCTGTTTGACGTTGTTTGGTTGGTGAGCATTGGCCGTGCTTGAGCTAGGTTTTATGCTTGTTGGTACGTGTCAGATGAAAGCGTATCAGTAACCGTTAGGTAAATGATGTGTTGTCTGAAACGATTGCCCGCGTCACCCAGTGCTGCACTCAAGAGTGTTATTACTGAGCTACTTCGGTCTGGATAGACCTCTTGATTTCGAATGGTTTTGTCAAAAAGGAGATGACAGAAAATAGTTCAGCTTAGAACTGTTGTTACGAGTTGTTCAGAGTGCATGTTCAATACGCCAAAACCTCCATCTTTATATTGTTAATGGAAGAAGGAATGTACATATGAATGCTCCTGTCATAAAGGCATAAAGGTAACTGTCAAAATGTTGAGAAGACTTTACTTTAACCTACTAATTAGTGTTTTCACAAAGTGAGAGTTACCATCAATAAATTAAGTCATTCGATGGTTGTCAGTGTGCGATTGTTGAGTGTATTTTGTGGTGGAATTAAAAAACCAGTATATTTCACTTGGATATATAACTGAGAGTCTCATCTTTCTGTGTCAAGTTATGGGCAGAAAATGGTCATATCAACTATGAAATAGATTATTGGTTGAAACTGAAACAACAGGAATAACTGGTATAACACAACTCACCTAGAAGTGTCCTGTATCTCAGTTAATGGTAATTTTTAATTTTCACTCTGACAAGTGTGTGTTTGTATAAATTTGTAGGTGTTAAAGGCCCTTTTAATACTGTTGGAGTTACTGGCACAGTGAAATGCTGCGAATGTACTGAGCTAAAAGAAGTGGAAAGGGCGAAATCCTCCATTTATTACGCTTCGAGGGCAGGACTATCTACTGGCATAGTAACCACTACTAGGGTTACTCATGCCACCCCAGCAGCAGCCTACGCAAATATACTACATCGAGACTGGGAGTCAAATGGGTAAGCGTTATCTGTGAGGTTTTGTGTGTTATCGTTGATAATTGTGCATGAACAATTGTGGACAGGTAGTATATTTATTACGTGTACTCATGTAATGGAATTCTGGAAGTATGTAAGCATTAATATAGAAGTAAGATTTGGGCACTGTGGTGGAATTTAATTCCATATTATATTTGTTTACTTGATTTATAACACAGTGATCTAGTATTATTTACATGATGAGGTTTCGAGCATAAATTATTGCTCATAATCATATCAATGTAATCACACTACTTTCGGGTTGACGTTTATTACACGGTACATTTCTCTCCCCCCTCCCTCCTCCCCAATTTATTTAGGGTGGAAGAAAGAAATTTGAAGCGGAAAAGTATTAGCTGGTTCCTCTGTTTAGAAGTCAATATGTTTGTGGCCAAGGTACTTTCCTATTGGACTAGGACGCTTATTCGTAGGAATCTGATTAGTTGAGCTTAGATAAGCTACCTGTATTTAGATTGGCCTATAAAACCATCATCACTTGTCACATAAATTCTGTTTTAAGAGATTAATCGCCTTCGGGTTGCGATCAAATCAAAAGTGAATTTAAAATTTGTGGAGAATTTAATTCTGTAGTGACAATGTTGTGTAATATTTCAGGGAGCCTGTTTCAAAATGAATTTAGTGTAATTGTTGTTATGATAATTGTAAATCCCCTTTGATATACAGGGCTGAATTGCTCGACCTCTGTTGGTATATGGGCTCCTATGCGGATACCTTGATACTACTGCTGATTCATGATGTAACGTTGATTTCGGTGACTAACAGAGGACTGCAGGACTGGTGTTTTGTTCTACTTGTTACTTGTGTTAGTGAAAATGGCCCTGCCTATTAAAGCGATGGGTACTGAGTTTGATCCACAGTGGGAACCATATCACTGACTGGTGTCCTGCTACATCCAGCTGACGAGTCCGGAGTAGGGCGAAATGCGCTTCCTGGTAGTCTCCGAGATCGATATGTATTGAGTGTAATTTAATGCTGTAAATGAAGCTTGCATATAAATCTACATCTTAAATGTATTCATCAAAAGTTTGCACATACTGATAACTTCTTTATTTGGGGTATTAATTGGAACAGAATTACTGCCACTGATCACACCAATAGTAGGAATATTTTCTTAATGATTTACTGAAATGAAAGCTTACCACTGTTTTTAAATTTTTCATTTGAAATGTACTTATATTATTCCATTAGGCGATATACAATCTTCGAAAACAAGTACTAACTGAGTAATCATGTTCATATAGGCAAACTTTACAAAGTACCTCCATGTTTGCCCCTAAATTTCCACCATATACTCTGCACTACGAAACTTTTTATTGAGAGTGGATCTGCTGTTCAAGTTGAAGTATGAGAGAGGGGAAACTATTTCATTTCAGTTGTGATTGAGAGACAGCATTTCTTTAATTTCCTATACTTCTAAGGTGTGGTACTGTATCGGAATTCTTGTTGTTATTGAATAACTGCAGTAAATTGGCTTATAAAAACTATATGAGTATTTCATATTTCGTTCAGGATTGAAGAACCAAGGATTTTACTTGATGTTAGAATAGTCTGCCTCTAGGAACATTTTGCTTTCAACGTATACGTTGAGTTCCGATGACTAGCATAAATAATGTTACTTGAAATTCACTTAGGTCATTTAAAGCCATATTTTTTCAACAACTATCTCTCTATATATTTCAATATTGGGATTAGTACTTTTAACTCATATGCATCAAGATTGAAGGCTACTCATGAGGATATTGCAAATAACTGAAACATCTTAAAAACCAAAATGTTTACGTTTTACAGTGATGTCGATGTTAACTAAGGGTCAACACTGAAATAAATGAAGCCTCATTTGATTAGTTATTGAATCACTGAGGCGTATATGCAACGAAACGATGCTAAGATTTGCAAGCGTCGCTCAACATAGCATAGAAACTAAATGAATATAATCCATTTGAAATAATTTTCTTCCCTAGATTAATTTCGACTAAGTTGAGTAACCTAACGAAATATTGATGAGTGAGTTGTAATCAAAGTGCAACTGTGCTCAGAATAATACAATTGGACGTGACATTATCTTTCACCTGTTTATCAAGAGATTTGACGGGTAGTGTAGGCTTCGACTTTTCAATTATTCTAACCATAGCTACATATTAGGTAGATATCATTCTCCATTCTACACTTTTTAACAATCTAATATGTTGTAATGCATTCATTCGGTCGATAAGTGAAGCATTTAAGTATGAATAATCACTTCTCATTTATTTTAAAGAAATAAAGAAGTCATTGAAATCAGTGAAGTGGGTACAGCTGTGGGAGTCAAGGATGAGTGCAGTAAAACTTGGCATAATGCAGACGAAGTTGCAGTAGAGTCATCTGTTATGAAAGCACCCACTCTGCGGCTTCCAATAATATGACTAAGAAAACTCCGAAATGCACCAATCAGTTCTGACATCTCACTGATTATGAAAGCAAAAGCTATGGGAATAGCCATGAAGTTGATGTCGATGACTACTAACTCGTAGAGAAAAAGGTTCTCATTATTAGTCTTGTAAGTACCATCGAGACCCAGTAGATCAAGACAGTTTTCAGTTACTTTCAGCTGATCGGCTGTGGCGACAAAAAATGATTTCACATCTCCACCCTCTGTGACAGAGAAGGATGCTGATCCACCTTGACTAATTATATGCGCCTTTCACTTTTCATAACTGTTTACAACAACATCGTTAGAAGCGAAATTACAATTACCGGTTAAATTACACTGAGCAAAGAGGCGATAGCGCATATTGAACACATCTTGACTATTCAATCCTTTACCAAAATGTGCACAAACGAAATCAACAACATTAAGCGTAGGCGTTCCGGATATCAGCAATGGCCTTATGCTCTCCAATTCAGCTTCTGTCAACTTCCGCGCCCACGAACTATTGTCATAAAGCAGTGAATTGCAGGGATGATCGTGAGTTAACAGCCACCGAGTAACTGTCCAGAAACCCTCTAAGAACTTCACAAGAGCAAACGTCCAAGAAAAACATTTCAGAGATATTCTATGAAGTAAATAATGAAAACAAACAGAACTGACCTTCTTGTTACTACACCACCTATTGACCGGCGTCAACTAGCCTTATAGCAGACAAACTTAACTTAAGCTCTTCTGTCACCTTGCAAATGTGAATCTCGCACAACGTAGTGTGTGTACGTCTGTTTCTCATACTCCTTCAGGACGACCTTCAAGGACTCTAAGGATGGAAATGCGGCGCGAAAAAAAAAAGCTTCATAAAATTCGATTCGTTTTCGGTTATAACACTTTGGACGGTGTCGTCTCTCATCATGAAAACAAAGCAACCCGTCCTCAGTTTGCTCCCTTTTGTAGTACCTTTGGATTTCGTGCAACCAATAACAGGGGACATTTCATTGTCTATTTTAATTGGACAGGGAGACAGGGAGTGAAGGGGGAGGGGTAGAAAATAACAGTTTAAAAAAATTATTACTACGGTCCTAATGTATTTCCTACTTTCGACATTTGATTTCTGTAATTATGTCAGCTCATATGAATTGTTTTTATTGGTATAAAAATTTTCCATATCTCTAGTATAAGCCTTGAGTCATTTCTGTTACATGTGTGAAGTGTTGATTCGATGAACGAAGATTCAGTAATCAATCGCTCCCTCCACCTAATCATATTTGACTTAAGTACAGTGACTTTATCCCACCTTATTTTGTGGTTATGTGTTAGTGCATGCATAGCAATTGCCAAGTTATTTTCTAGATTATTGATCTTATTTAGGTCTGTTATTCTATGTTTAGCTAGATTTCTATGTTCGGCTATTCTAACTGCCCCCGACTTGCTAGTTTGACCTATTTATTTGACCCGAAGTCATTAAATGGTATTTGATAGATTATATTATTTTGTTTAATTGGTTCTATCGTATCCTTAAGCCGACAAAGTTTATCTCTGAGTGAGTTTGTAGGTTTAAATGCCCCCCCCCCTAATTCGAGCTCTGTTGAGGATTCTACGTAAAGTGTTTGAGGTACCCTCCTTATAGGGTAATACAATGAAGACTGTGAATTCTTGTTGTCTTTATTAGTCGCACTGAAGTGACTGTTATTTTTTCGTTTTTTGTGTATTCGTATGAATTTCTTGATATCATGTAGAGGACAATTATTAACTATTACCTCTTCTTTTATGTGTTTCAATTCCTTGTTTAGGTCCTTGCACTGACTAGTCAGTTTTCTAGCTCTGTCATTTAGACATTTGACTAAACCTGCCATAACTGACTGACATTGGATGGGATGACTTGAAGTCTAGATGCCTGTTGGAATGTGTCGGTTTTCTGTAGACGGCAGTATCCAAGCCACCGTCTGTTCTTGGTTTTCCCCTGCAATCCAACATAGGTAATTCTCCTTGTTCATTTTCTATCTCGTGCGAGAATCGGATTGCACCTACTACTGAGTTTATGTGTGAGGAAACTGTAGATATGTTCCGATTTCAACATGGTGAATGTATTATCCACATACCACCACCATATCTTAGGTGTAGGATTAAACGTTTGTAACTCTATGTTTTCCCAACTATTTATAAACATATCCTCTACGACTGCGGATATTGGTGATCCTATTACTAATCCATCTGTTCGTGAATATATTTTGTCCTGAAACTTGAAGACTGTGAAGGTAAGGCATAACTGTATGCTTAATATAATCTCATCAACCGATATCTTAGTTCTGTGAGTAATTTCTGAGTCAATATTTAGTTGACTTCTGACTGCCTCCAGTCCCATGTTCATTGGTATTTTAGTATACAGACTAGTTACATTGACACTAACCATCTTTTTCATCCTCTTCTATGTGTAGGTCATTAAGTCTTTGTTTTAACTCTTAAGAGTTTACTAGTCTTGACCTAATAGGACATAATATGGATGCTAAGTACTTTGCTAGTTCATATGTTGGGGTATTTCTGAAGTCAACTATGGATC